GAGTTACAATCTAAATATATTAAATACACACTTTCTTGATTGGGGTCATAGTGTTCGCCCATATATTTATTATTGGCTTTAGCATAACGTGTGGCAATCATACTGACTCCTCCTCTGATTGCACTTTCTATGAACAAATGCATGTCAATATCTTGAAATAATTGTAATTTTATACCGGTCATTCTAAGACAGGCCTCCCATGTTAGTCCAGGGAGTGAATACATATGTACGGGGTAAAAGTTTATAATCTTTTAAACACAGGTCTCTAAATGTCTCAAAGACATCAGCCAGTAGCAATACGTCTGTTTTAAGATATAAATCATGATATTCTTGTAAATTATTTATATTAAAATGGGTCCAGACATTTTTAGCATGTTCATATTCATTGGGAGAGATATGTTCTTTAGTTAGAGTACTGTAAAATGCTTCTTTTGGGGGTAGAGACTCTGCGAACTTATCTGGTCCCGTCATATATTCATAGGGATATACACCTTTACGTTGTAGTAGTGGATTGTCTATAAATCTAAATGTATTTAAATTGGAAGCTAATTTGTATAATGGAAGGGACAAAAAGTTATAGGAATCTAAAAATACTAAATCATCAATAGAGAATGAAATGTACTTTTCCATATCCTTGGCTATACAATTTAATTTACGTTTATTAAACTTTCCCAAGTGTTGCATTATTAAATGTCCGTCATAATTTTTCAAGTTATGGAAGAATACTGGGATTTTCTTTGTTACTTTATAGTTTAAAATGCAATCATTGTGGGCAGCTCCACGGTATTGGCCAGATGAATGGCAATGATCTCTCACCCTATCAAAATATAGGGGCTTTTCACAAATATGACAATGTGTCGAGTTTTGGAAAGACGCCTCTTGCTCTGGAGTCATTACCAGGGGAATATATATCGCCATTTGACTTTTAATATAATCATAAGTCTCAAATAATCTTTTAAAAAACACATCCATAACATTTTCACCACTGTACAACTCTTCAGAAATAATCTTAGACTCTTTCACTACAAAAAATGCAAATCCAGATGGAGTATGGTTGTTAGAGTTTATAAAGCATTCAAAATCTGCATAAATCACAAATGGGGCTTTAAGTTGATATTTATAGTTTTTAAATTGTAATGTATCTTGTTTAGACATTTCCACTCGTTGGGCATCAAAGTTTTTACAATATGTTGCATGACGTTCTAATATATCATTAGTGTAAAAATGTTGCAAACACAACTTACAAAAATGCTTTTTATGGTCATCTTTTGTAGAGTGGAACATTAACTTATCAAAATCACGAATTAAACAGTAATGTGATTTACGACCTTCTTGTAATAACAATAGATCTACATGATTATTACTATTCAGTTTGGTTGTTCTTAATGGATATATAAATTTATCATATTCAACCCCAAATACATTAATACTTATATCATTCTGTGTTTCAAATTTATCTATATCAGATATTTTCACAGGATACTTTATGTTTGTCATATTCAACTGACTTTCATAGGTTACATAATTAGAAACCCTTTCAGCATGTTCATTAGAGTTCCTTGGATGTAAAGCTGCTAAAATCGACCAAAGGAAGCATTTATTGTCAGCATTTTTAATATTTAAAACTGCATGTTTTGATTGAATACTTTTTGGTGTAGGGATATATGACTTTGGAGTTAGGGGCTTATACTTGTAAACATGCAGCTGCCAATATTTAGTATGGTCATATATCCATCCACTGCCTTGGGCTTGATATTTGTGTATGGAAGCGTCAATCTTTAAAAGTGCATTTTCAATTTGAGGCTTTAAATCTCTCTTCTCAATAGTTAAGGTTGTAAGGCTTCTAAAATCTGCAATACATTCTTTTTCATTGACTAATTTTCCATTTTGATCCATTGAATATTTTATAAATTTGATTCTCCTAACTAACGTCCATTTTATCGGAAGAGGACAAGACTGAAGAGTATTTTTAAGGTCATCTCTAATCGATTCACCAACAAATTTAATCATTGTATATGGACATTTGATGCAAGAATTGGCGTGTCTTTTAAAATGTCCAACAACATTCGTTTTACAGAAATTACAAGTCTTATGATTTTGTAATATATGTGATTTTAAAGCCACATTATTATCACAGATTAAATTGCAAACCTTGCACAGTTTCACCTTCATTTGATGAATTACCTTGTAGTGGCGAATCAGGTTACTTTTGGTGGAGAGCGACACGGAGCAGTGTTGACAGGTGGGCCTCATGGTCCAGAATGAAATAACACCCGAATGTCACTTCTATTTATAGAATTTTCGAAAATTTCAAAATTTTTAAAATTTTTAAAATTTAGATTAGAAATTAAGAATTACTTCAACAGGAGGTCACCCACCCAGGACTAGACCAGTAGAGACGAGAAGCCTGACCGTAGGTCGGGAGCACGACCAGGAGCGCGCCATGAGCCGGGAGCGCGCCCGAGTTCGCGTACAAACCTCGCACTGTCAAGTTGATGATTTTGAGAATATACATGTGAATGGATATGGATTTGAAATAGTAATAGTGTTGTACAATGGTATTGAACATTTATATAGGCTTGTATAGGCCGAGAGCTGGATTTTTAAAAAAGTGGTCAAAAAAAGCTCACCATGTTATTCTTATGGGGAAAACGTGCCTAAAGTGAGGTATCTTTGCCATATTGCCTCTACTCTACATTTACACTTGTAAGGGTCAATAAATGTAAGAAATAGCTTTTTTAGCTTAATATCGAATATATTTATGGGGAATAAGTAAGAAATAAGGTTTGACAATTATATAGGGATATTTAGGCAAAGATCAGGATTTTTGGTTTTAGTGGCCAAAAAATGATCCCATGTTATTTCTTATGGGTAAACGTGCCCCAAGTGGGGTAAAACCGGTAGTTCTCCACTACTCAAATAAAATAAAATGTTTTTTTACAAAGGATTGAACCTATGAACCTCTAGCATAGGGTTAGGATTGAACCCATAAACCTCCAATAAAAAAAAACAACCCTAAATAACTCAAACATATAATATTTAGTGGCCTTTAATGATAAAGTTAAGCCCTCTTTCAGCTGTTTTATATTTATTATACACTATAAAATAACCTCCAATGCTACTACACATTTAACATTCTTTTATGCTCAATGGTAAGGTTTAAACATTATACACTATATAAAGTATTTTTTTACAAATCCTACTAGGACAGGATTGAACCCATAAACCTCCCACTATAATACCATTAGTGGTTGGTTAGATTCGAACCCGTGAACCTCTAACATAGGTTAGATTCGAACCCGTGAACCTCCAATGATAGGTTAGCCATGTTAAAATCAAATCTCCAATACACACCCTATAAGTTAAGTAAAGTGTCATTTACCACTATAAACTCTGTACCCGTATCTGCTGTTGTAGCTCAACCAGCTAACGCGTACAACTACCAATAAAAAGACCCGAGTTCGATCCTCGGTCAGGCCAACACTTTTTATCCATAATAATTTAATAATTAATACAAACACCTACTGACGTCACGTGGTCAGCTGTGGTTAGCTATGGTTAGACCAGCTGATCATGCGCAAACAGCTGAGAGTACACCTAGATCGGGAACGGGACGATTGGCACACATTTTTGGATCATCTGCCCATGGCAGTATTGGCACAACCATTTGAGCGGAATAAGTAGGGTCAACTCGCCTGCTTGGAAAAGGCACGATTGGCACAACCGCTCGACCAGGTAGACGCCATCGAACGAGGGAAAACGGGAGGTTTAAAATTCCCCGTCAACTCTGCTACGACAGTCATTTGCCGGTAATATCGCGTATTTTCAATGGTTAGGTTAGGTTATGTTAGCTTAGGTTAGGTTAGGTTAGGTTAGGTTAGGTTAGGTTAGGTTAGGTTAAGTTAAGTTAAGTTAAGTTAGGTTAGGTTAGGTTAAGTTAGGTTAGGTTAGTTAAGTTAAGTTAGGTTAGGTTTAGTTAAGTTAGGTTGGGTTAGTGTAGTTTTATTTGGGTCCAGCAGGGGCAGTGACCGTAGCAGCAGATTTGTCGCTCAAACTTACACCATGGATGAAGTAATTGCTAACGCTAATAAGCACTACAGCGGGGACTTTGTGGGGACAAAACAATTTCCATTTTCCCTCATTCTGGATACCTGCCTACTACTTCCCTACCGGTCTGTTGTGCCAATCGTGCCTTTCCGAAACTTCTAGTTTGACCCTTCTTAATCTTCTCTAATGATTGTGCCAGTCGTGCTATTCCAAATCGGCTAAAAATGTGTGCCAATCGTTCTACGGCCCCTAGATCATCTCAAGGTCAATTTCTGCCAGCGGGTCGGGACGCCTACTCCTGTCTAGAGATTATATCAATATTGTATACATTAATTAAAAGACATAAACATTAAAAGCTATATTATGACTTATACAGTTACACATATTAAACAGTACAGTATCAGTATTCATTAAATAAAAATTTACTCAGAAACAAAAATAGTAAAATAGTAGTTTATTTACGTTAGGTTTCTATTCCCCATAAGAGCCCATGTTAGACCCAACGTACCGCCCCTAACTACTAATTACATTGTATTTTTTTTTTCTTAAATATAATACAGCAAACATTACTAACTAGATAACAAAACAAAAATTATATTCTGTAGAAATAAAGCGAAAAAAGTGCAAAAAAATACCTTCTGTAACAAAGGAAAAAGTCTACATAGGCAGGGCCTGTGCGTAGACTCGAGTTGCGAAAAGGTTAATTTAGATGGGAGGTAAAAAAATGTATAGGAAAACAAAAAATAATTCGTATAATTCTAAATTTAAAAAATTTTTCTTGCTTGAAACTGAATGTTTAGTGTTCTTCTGTGAATTAATTGACGATAAAAAAACTCTTTGTACCAAACTGAGGAATATAAATAAAAATAAGAAAATAAACCTCTTGTTACAATGCGTAAGAGGGGCTACGGCATGGTAACGATACTTCCATTCAGCATTATGTTGTGTTGCAGGTCACGGGCCTCGTCCAGGCTGATGGAGAGGTACGAAAAGCTGGGTAAGCTGGGCGAGGGTAGTTATGGCATGGTGTTTAAATGTCGCAACAGGGAGACTGGTCAAATTGTGGCAATCAAGAAATTCGTCGAATCTGAAGACGATCCGCTTATTAGGAAGATTGCTCTTCGTGAAATCCGGCTTCTAAAGGTAAACATTTATTGTAAAATATACACGACTTTTTATAAGTTACTGGCTAAGGTGCTCGTGCTTTTCAATAGGGAGACAATTTTGTACAAAATCACAGCCCCGTCCTTATTGTAAAACATTCTAATAGTTAAAGCAATCACATAAAATGTTAAGACATAAAAAATTAAATAAAGTTAAATCAAGATTACAATACAAACCAAATACCCCCGACGCAGCAAACCTGCGGACTAAGCGAATTTCCATTTGCCTAATTGGATTTGCAAAAATCAATTTTATTCCTAATTTAAATAGTATTATTTTTACGAGTGCTTAGATTTGCTGTAACAGAAGGGTAAAAAGGGGTTTTTTGTGGTTTTTTCCGTAAAGTGTTAATAGTTTAGTATGAAAAAATGCATTTTCCAATGCATTATCCAAATTTGATCAAAATATGTTCAAAAATAACCAAACTACAACGGCTTCCTTACACTCCATAATAATAACATTAGGAATTTAACATTTACGTTTTTCTTATCTTCTCCGTAACCATTAGGCGCTTGATAACGCTTCAACATACTAAATTTTTAAGCTCTAGGTAATGGTTTGGAAATAAATTGCCAAATTTGAGGTGTTTAGGGTTAAAAAAATGGAGAACCTACTACGATTTTGAACTAATTGTTTACCTCATTAAATCTCAAAACTTCATATTCTACGATGAATTGTCAAAGGATTTAAGTAATCATTTAGTAGTCAGCTAGAGGTTATGAATATAATCAAAAACCGGTCATTTATATAATCAATAATAATTAGCTATTTTTTAGCAAATTTCCCATATAGGGAGAAATCTATTACCGTAGTACTTATGGTAAGACCTGGACCCGGGGCTGATTTACTTGTTCGTTTTGAGGTCCTTAGAGGCCAAAAACACCAACCGTTCAAATATACATATGTGTGTGTGTGTGTGTGTCCGTTAGCACTATAACTCGAGCAAAAATGATCCAATTTTGATTAAATTTGGTATAAACGTGTAAACCTACATTTTCGAACAAGTTCGCGAACCAGCAAGATCTGACCATGGGAACGGGGGTTTATGGGGGTTTTTATTGGGTAAAAATGGGATTTTCTCATTTTTGACCCTAAAAACATAAAATTTAGCAATTTCTTTACAAACCATTTTGTAGAGCTTTAAAAAAAATAACTTAGTATGATTAAGCGTTATTATGCGCCTAATGGTTACGGAGAAAATTCCTAAAAAATTTAAATTTAAAATTCCCATGTTATTCTTATGGGGAATAAGTAAACTGTTGTTGTTTGCTTGTTTATGAGCATATTTCGATCAAATTGGGAATATTTATTTCATACTAAACTATTAACATTAAAAAACAATTTTTACCCCCCCCCCCCCCCTGTTGCAGCAAACCTAGAGTACTCGTTAAACTAATACTATATGTATTAATATAATCTATATCTATAAAAGAGGAACTATGTATATATATATTTCGTATATATATAGACCACATATATATGTGTGTGTGTGTATATGTATGTATATGTATGTACGTTATGGACTCCGAAACCGCTCGACATATTGTAATGAATCTTTCAGACATTATTATGCATCTTTCAAGGATGGTTTGTGTGAAGTTTGGTGCAGATCCGTCAAAAGGGCTCCACCCCAGAGGGTTTTAAGTGGGCCAATGTCATAATTTTTGAGCTACAATGTTTATAAATAAATATAATGTAAAGCAGATGTTTACTTTCACCAACTGTTTTGTAGGTTTGAATGGTCATAACATTCTGTAATAGTCATGATTTGAAAAAGTGTCACAATGTTTCCACAGAGTTCAGCACAGAAAACTATTTTACTTTTGAATAAGTCCAAATATATTAGACCCCAATCGCAGCACACCTTTGCACTCGACAACGTTTAAATTTTCCAATGTTAAAAATGTAAACATAAAAACCTTTATCAAAGTATTATCTATATATAAAAAATCCAATGTATGTTTGTTTGTTTGTTTGTCCTTTATGGACTCCGAAACCGCTCGACAGATTGTAATGAAACTTTCAGGCATTATTAGGCATTATTCAAGGATGGTTTGTGTGAAGCTTGGTGCAGATCCGTCAAAAGGGCTCCGCCACAGTGGCTCTAGAGTTTCCCATGTTAACCTTATGAGTAGTCATATTTAAATGGAATAAAAGAATCTTAAGAGCTGGTTCAACTAAACAATTTGATTCTGTGATGTTCAATAGCATTAAAAAGTTAATAGGTTTATCAGCAGGGTGCTGCACTATTATTGTTTTTAAATTTATGACAACAGCTAATTTGCAACCAAAAGGTGAGTGAGCGTAGCGAACGAACTTCAACCAGGAAGTGAATGAGCCATGCCAACGAGCTCATCTTGAAAATGAACGAGCATTTGACATAAAACCACATTAGGACAGGACGACGTCTGTCGGGCTAGCTAGTAAACAATAAAAGGGATGGCAATAATATAATTGATTTACACAAAGCATCCTAGCTGGACCATGAGAATATTCTTTCACAGGGGGTTGTATGAGATTTAACTTCAAAATCCATTGGGTTCAGTGGATGTGTTAAAAAGAGCTTTAAAAACAAACAAAGTAATATATTGTGTCTTTAATTCCTCGATGCTATGGGTAAAATTATCATCCTGGGATGAAATCAAAAGTGGCTAAACTGTTGATGAAACTCCACTTTTGATATGACTGGATGTAAGAGAGTGAAGACTTATCTAGCATGAAAAGTGAAAGCTTCCTAGCCAGATGATGAGAACTATCTATGAGGCTTTCTTAGAGGGTTATGGTGCAAATATATTTTATCGTTGTATGTTTTACTTCCAAAAAGCAAATTTCCAATACAGATTCGATGTAGTTCTAATGCGACTAAGGTAAAGCTCCGCTATTAATGTAATTTGGTTGAATACAATAAACACTCATCAGGTTGAGTTTTACTAACTGTCTTGATTAGATCATGTGAACTGGCTTTTATGGGGTGAATATGGTTTTCTTTCTAAATTATAAAAAAAAATACCAAACAAATTATATATTTTCTGATCTCCATATTAATTAATGACATAAAGGGTTATGTCCTATTTCACCCGAGTTTCATTTCGCCCGTAGCCTAATTAGTCTCAGTTTGCCGATGGTCCCAGATTAACCCTTATAATCCTCAGCTCTACCCTACCTGCGTCAGGAGTCTCATTCCGTCCACGGAGACGAAACCCGCCTCCCAGGTACCCACCCTCCCACAACTATGACCCACATCACTTTCCACCTCCGACTACACGGTTATTGAAACTTAAAATATTTCTTTGAAAAACCAGACAAACCAAGCGATTTCCCTTTTAAATATAAGGAAATTTATTAAGGAAATTTCCCTGTTGTAGGGGTGGGTGGACCGGGGTGGCGGAGCCGTGGCGGGGAAGCTGGGGTGGTGGAACTGGGGCGGCAGAACCAGGGCAACAAACAAATTTTAGGGAACAGTGAATTTTTAATATGAATAAAATAATAAATTCTTGGCTTAAAATACCTACTTTGTGTGGTCGCCATTTAATAAGAAAGTACTGTATTAAAGTAAAGAGAGTAAAGTATTAAAGTATGTTGATCCCACCAAGAATAAGTTGATAAATTTTAGCATAAAACAAAATTCTCTGGATACTGAATATTTCCTATAAGGCATTTCCTGTTCTGGACGTCTAACCAACAGAGGCCATGGTGTTTTGTTGATTTGTCATTTAAGTTATGACCATAGCCTACACATTCACCACATCTGCACCAAGGCCTCAGGCATGCTCGAAATTATCTCACCTGCTCTGCAAGACACTGTTTGAGCATTGAGCATGCATGCCTGCTCGATCCAGTGTAGTCCTTTGTGTGCCAACCTAGAGTACAGGTAGGACTACGGTGGAATCTGGTCGCCTTACTAACCAGCTCAGCTATAGGCTACCTTCGTTTCGTCCACAAACGGGAAGAATGGGCGTGCACCTAGTATTTGTATCTTTTGTTTTATAACCACGCAATCTAACGTAAATTATTAGTGAATAATAATCGTGCGTGCTTTCTCGGGTATTCAAATGCCTCTCAATTTGTCACTAACCCACCACATTACTGTCATTAAAAGAAGGAACTCCAATAATACTAATTAATGTGAAACTTAAATCCACCGAAGCTGTGCAACGTTACCAGACTGACGATTTAAAAAATGACACCAATTATCAATTATCAATCATTGAGATGGGGACACCACCTAGGTGCGTATTTTAACCCAAATATGAGTGAAGGATGAGTGTAGAATGATGTGAGATGATATGTGTAGCTTTGTTACTGACTAAGATCAGCGGTTTAATTAGCCAGAAAATCGATTGAAGCAAAAATTATCAGTGGTAAGTTTAAAGGAGAAAAAGTCTTAATCCCAAGAATACTGATGATTTTATCCGAATTACCCTCTGAATTTAAGCAACTACAATTTACTTTGTGCCTTGCTTTCGCAATCACCATTATAATAAGGCACTAGGGAAATCCTTGACTATCGTCGGTTTAAATATAGAATACCCCCGCCGCAGCAAACCTGCAGACTAAGCGAATTTCAACTTGTCTGATTACATATTTACTAAAATACTTCCATAAATAAGACATATTCATTCGCAATTTAAATAACATTAGATATAACGAGTGCTTAGGTTTGCTGCTACGGGGAAGGTAAACAGTGTTTTTTGACCAAACGTCAATAGTATAGGATGAAATAAATAAGTTTGCCGAATTTGATCAACATATATCCATAAACAAGTAAACTACAAGTTTTCATTTTCTCCATAAGAATAACATGGGAATTTTATATTTGCATTTTTTTGAATTTTCTCTGTGACCGTTAGGCATACAACAATGCTTCAGTATACTAAATTATTTCTTTTTTTAAGCTCTACAAAATGGTTGGGAAAGAAATTCTAAAGTTTTATGTTTTTAGGGTCAAAAATGGGAAAACCCCATTTTTACCCCATAAACCCCCCATAAACCCCTGTTTCCATGGTCCGATTATGCTGGATCGCGAACTCGTTCGAATAAATGTAGGTTTACACGTTTGTACCAAATTTCATCAAAATCGGATCATTTTTGCTCGAGTTATCGCGCTAACAGACACATATATATATAAATATATATATATATATATATATATATATATGAATTTGAACGGATGGTGTTTTTGGCCTCTAGGGACCTCAAAACGAAAAAAAATCGGTCCCGCGTCCAGGTCTTACCATGAGTACTACGGTAATAGCTTATTCCTTATATGGGAAATTCGCTAAAATGCAAGTTTTTCACACGGACAGCTGTATGTTGCGTGCTCACGTGGTGGTAGGTACGCCTAAAAATTTATATATTTATACACCTAATGAAAAAACAAAAAGCATTGTTTATCCACTGGCAATTAAGTAAAATATTCTATTTTATTTTTGGTGTACACTTTTATTATTCATCGTAAGGAACAAATTACCATTTAAAATAATATAGTTGTTAAGCGCAGCAACGCGTGCCGGGTAACTGCTAGTAGGGAATAAATGTGATATTTTTTAGGAGAAATTTTAGTGTAAATCCAATTAAAGTCGGGACCACGTAAGTTTGCAGTTGGTGGCAGCCAATCACAAGACAAGACTAGTGCGATGTTGCACACTAACACTAATTAAAATATACTAAGCAATATTTTCAAATCAGCTGATATTATTAGATTTGACAACACCGCACTGTTCTCATTGGTTCATTCAAAACCATATGGTAAATAGGCTCCTCCCTCAACTGCAAACTTACGTGGTCCCGACTGTAGGCTATTGGAAATTTGCTTAGTCTGCAGGTTTGTTGCGGTGGGGGTATTTTTAATTTACCACTTATTTATTGCTGTCCGCTATTATTGTAAGCTGCGAGGAACCTTCAAAAGGCCAAGTGTTCTATGTTTTAGAGTTTTGATTACTTCAAGCAAGACGACTTCAATCATCGAATGGATGTGTGCTAAGCAGCCAGATAGAGGATTTATATAGTTTTTCCGTAATCTTGTTCAATATTTTGTTTCAATCACCTTCTATTGTGTACATACTTTTTTAGGCCGCAAGATGCATAGTTTTTAATTGTGTAAATAATGTAAACCCGTAGTTAAAATGTAAAAATGTATGTAGAGTCTAATTTTACAACTATTTTTACCAAATTAGTGTCAAACTAAACTTAAGAATCTCCTCTTTCAATTGATCCTCGTCCCGTGATGATAAGTTGTACAGTTTTCAGTAATAGCGTTTCAAAAGTGTAACAATAATTTAGAATAACCCTGTATATTAAATTCTATTGGCATTTTTATTTTATGACGTTTAACGTTTTCTAATGACTACTTTTTCCTTGATTATTTACACAATAAGCCTCGTTGTTGTTGACAAGCTCTTAACCCTGCTATTGTAATAGAAGAGTTAGAACAGTGGATGTATCGAAGAGACAGCTCAGAACTAGACCACGTTAATGCATGAGTTGCGTGCCACGAGTATTGGCTTCTGTCGCGAGCTTAATAACGTGTATTGATCACCATATCAATAATGATCTTTAAATAGTACGTAATGAACAATTAAAATGTTTTCAATCCTATTTCTCTAAAAACAGTTTTATTTTCAAATCATGAAAAAACAATAAAATCTTCTCAACAGTGCAAAATAAAGATAAACCGGAATTGTCCATATCAATAGAGCAAAGGCCAAAAGAGACAATAAAATGCACAAAACTCTTTAGGTATAATTGTGGATAACCATTTTAATTTGGATCTTCATGTTCTATCGTCATTATGTTGACGATCCATGTTCTATCTATGGAAGCTTAGGATGCCACATTGTTAAATATCAGGTTTCTCTGATAAATAAAATATTCACATGCAGTACATGTATCGGTACATACACTATTTAGAATCGTTTACACGCATTGGATATTTCAACCGCATTTGACCGACCAAATAATGAAATTGCCAGACACTGTATGTGGACGGATTCCGATGCCGCACACTGACTTATATCTCTCGTGTATCGTTCACTATACGCAATCGTTTTCTATCTAGTAAGATTAAAATTTGAAATTTAATGGAGACCTAATTGAATGGTAAACTAATAAAAGTAGGTTTAATCTATGATAAACCTACATTAATACCTTATTCTTCCTCTCTTGTTCTGCATATAGAGCCTGAAACACCCCAACCTAGTGAATCTACTGGAGGTGTTTCGTCGCAAACGCAAGCTACATCTAGTGTTCGAGTTCTGTGAGCACACAGTGCTGCATGAGCTGGAGCGATACCCTCATGGCTGTCCGGAGACTATGGTCCGTAGCATCACCTGGCAGACCCTGCAGGGCGTCGCCTACTGCCACCAGCACAACTGCATCCACCGCGACGTAAAGCCAGAGAACATCCTGCTGACGGCGCAGGGCGTCGTCAAACTCTGCGACTTCGGCTTTGCCAGGCTCATGAGTAGGTACATTAATGTTAACCATCTGCTAGATATAGATCAGATCTAATACAATAGTAGGCCAAGTAGCTGCTGTCTCTGGATTCATTTGAGACTTTGATCAATATAACAATTTGTAAAACTCTACAAACAAACTGTAGGTGCACTGTAGAAAAAAGAATGAAATAGGGTTATATAGTGAAATAGTTTTCACTATACAGGGTGGTTGATATAAGTGTGCCAGCTGTTTTATTCAAAAGGTATACGAGATATAAAAATACCCCCGCCGCAGCAAATCTGCAGACTAAGCGAATTTCAACTTATCTGATTAAATCTTTACTAAAATATTGATATAAATAAGACATATTTATTCCCAATTTAAATAACATTAGATTAAACGAGTGCTTAGGTTTGCTGCTACGGGGAACGTAAAACGTGTTTTTGACCATAGGTTAATAGTATAGGATGAAATAAATAAATTTGCCAAATTGTATCAACACATATCCATGAACAAGTAAACTAAAACAAATTTCATTTTCTCAATAAGAATAACATGGGAATTTTAAATTACACTTTTTTAAATTTTCTCTGTGGGGATACAATTTTGTACCGTTAGGGATACAACAGCACTTCAATATACTAAATTATTTCTTATTTTAAGCTCTACAAAATGGTTTGGAAAGAAATTGCAAAATCTTTTGTTGTTAGAGTAAAAAATGGGAAAACCCCATTTTTACCCCATAATCCCCCCCCCTAAACCCCTGTTCCCATGGTTCGATTATGCTGTTTCGTGAACTCGTTCGAATAAACGTAGGTTTACACATTTGTAAAAAAATTCCTCAAAATCGGATCATTTTTGCTCAAGTTATCGCGCTAACGGACACACACAAATATATATATACACAGATTGAGTTTTAATTGTCACCCCCCCCCCCAACTTTTTTCTTATTTTTTTCACATATCAATCCCAGACCACTTCCAAACATTGTTGGGTAGTAAGTATTAATTTTCACAAGGTGGTCATTTCCGGCCGCCATCTTTGATTCGCCATATCGGATGCAAAATAGTTTTTTTCTATTGTAAAGGTGGGGTTGTGACCCATTATTTAGAACTAGATTTTTACCCTGATTACAATGCCACAAACCGTTTTTAAAAACCTTGATCCATGCTAAAGTTATGAGGGCTTTTTAAAACTTTATTTTTAGCCCATTTTAACATTGTGCATTTACAAACTAAGAACATAATTTCAAAATAGTGCTAGATAATGATAAGTATACACCACCAGTCGTTGTCGACCTGTTTCCACTTGGTTATGACGGATGTATTCTTTTCGGCTGCCATCTTGGATCCGCCATTTTGTAATGTGATACATTGTTTAAAATACCAAGGGGGTGTTGTGACCCATCATTTCGAATTACTTTTTCAAGCTTAACTCAATGCCACAATTCATTTTTTGTTATCAAGTTTTCTTTATGAAGTTGCAATTTGTTTGTTAAAAATGTCAATACTGTCATAGAATAAACTGTATTTCAAAATCCAAATACGAAAATGTAAAACGGATCGTGGAATTGAGTTCAGCTAAAAAAAGTAATTCAAAATGACGGGTCACAACATCCCCTTCATATTTAAAATAATTTATCACGTTTCAAAATGGCGGATCCAAGATGGCGGCCACAGAAATTACATCCATCATAAGCCAGTGAAAATAGGTCGACAATGACTGGTGGCGTATACTTATCTTTATCTAGCACTATTTTGAGATTATGGTCTTAGTCTTTAAATGCACTATGTTAAAATGGGCCAAAAAATAAAATTATAAAAAGCCCTCACAACTTTCGAATGGATCAAGATTTTTGAAAACGGTTTGTGGCATTGTAATTAGGGTAAAAATCTAGTTTGAAATAATGGGTCACAACCCCACCTTTACATTTGAAAAAAATATTTTGCATCCAATATGGCGAATCCAAGATGGCGGCCGGAAATGACCACCTTGTCAAAATGAATTACTTACTACCCAACAATGTTTAGAAGTGGTCTGGGATTGATATTTGAACAAATTTAGAAACAAGTTGGGGGGGGACAATTAAAACTCACCCTGTATATGAATTTGAACGGATTAGTGTTTTGGCCTCTGGGGACCTCAAAAAGAAAAAGTAAATGAGTCCCGGGGTTAGGTCTTTCCATGAGACCTACGGTAATAGCTTATTCCCTGTATGGGAAATTCGCTAAAAATGTTAAACTTTAACTGCCTTAGATATTTTTTATTTATTTAAAAAATTTTGGTCAAGTAAACAAATAATTTTAGCCACCATTTTCCAATATGGTCACCAACTTTGATTTTTCTTATGGGAGACCTTATACAGGTTGAGGCAATGAAAGCGCCCCAATTTAGAAATAGTAGAAACTCAATCATGTTCACCCTATAGATATAAATAGCACTTCAAAACACAGCTTATCTTTTGACATTTTAGCTTAACAAAGTCATTTTTCCTTTTCTTGAAAATAAAATCCTGCAAATGACGTCCTTGTCCGACTTGACATTCCCTTTTAGTCACTTGAAAACTCGAGTTACTGTGACTCGCACTCTTTCAACTTTATTTTGCTGGTGTACAAAGAATTTGCGGCAACCCACCGATTATTTTTAAGGTTTAAGCTGTTATCCTAAATAATTTGACCCTTTTCGCAATTGTTTTCAAATCTGGAACAGCGCCATGTTGACCAAGGATTGAATGTGGTCCAAACAATCTCTGGGTTTTTGCACAAGAATCACTATTTTTTAGTATAGGTTTCCCCGGCAAAATCTCAGTGTTAATAGCCGCAGGCATGGCGCTACGCCCAATGGGCTTGTTTTTATTAGCTCCCTTCTTACCAATTTTTATATCGATTTTAAACTAACTTCCTGTTGAGCTAGAGACTTGAAACTTCTCACAAATAAAATTATAAATAAAAATACTTTTTAAATGCCACGATTTTAAATCGCACTAAAAAGTAGGAAATAGTTATTTGTGTAATAGTATAAAGCATATAAATAATTAGTCTTTCAAACACTATACAACACGTTTTTAGGTTCAGCTGGCAACACAAATAGGTGCCCTAGTAGTACCCGGTCCGGATCACTCCGCTATTTTTCCTCGGCAAGAAATGTGCTCCGCGACTTGAGAATATAGTTCCGTATGTTTTTGTAATTTGAAGTGGTTTCCGCGCATAAAAAATGCTTTAAAGTTATTTTCTTTTTTATTAAGATCGTAGGAATGTTTTAAAAACGTTTAAAAGAAAAGTCCAGAAAGTTCAGAAATACCGAAACTATAAACACCAAATGACAGGTTAAATCGTAGTTATAATAGTCAATCAGATGCTCATAGTATTATTATCTTTAAGTGTTGCCAACCTATTTCCAAGCGTACACGGATACGTGCATAATAGAACCACGCTGCTTTGTGTTGTTTCGTTGGAATCCTGATGTGCGCCAAAGTATAAACCGTACGACAAAGAATAAACCGTACGACAAAGTATAAATATGCAGCAATTAGCAGCTTTCTGTACTATAAACAGTACAGACATATATACATATATCAGACCTTTGTCGGGTGACTGTAGGGAAAAAAATTATAAATATGTGGAGAGAATAAATACTTGTAAATCAAAAAAAGGACATCGTCCCCGTTTTTCGTTCTAAATCTTACAAGTATTTATTCTCTCCACATATTTATAATTTTTTTTCCTACTTTTTAGTGCGATTTAAAATTGTGGAATTGTTAAAAAGTATTTTTTATTTATAATTTTATTTGTGAGATGTTTCAAGTCTCTAGCTCAACAGGAAGTTAGTTTAAAATATATATAAAGATTTGTACGGACGATGTCGAAGCTGGACAACGTTAAACGCGGACTACGACAAAAACAGACACCGCCTTAATCAGACAACGATAAAAGAAGACAACGATGAACCTGGACACATTCAAATGTGTCCGAGTTTAACGTTGCACGCAAACGACGAACCTGGACACATTTTTAAGTTGTCCAGGGGTGGCGTTTCACGACACGACGTCACGACGAAACAGGACATATTGAACAAGTGTCCCAGTGTAACGTTGCACACAAACGACGAACCTGGACACGTTTTTAAGTTGTCCAGTGTTGGCATTGCATGACACGACGAAACTGGACACATTCAAAAGTGTCCAAGTGTAACTTTGCACGCAAACGACAATCCTGAAAACTTAATCTGTCCAACTTTATCGTTGTCCGCGTGTGTCGTTGTCCAACTTCGGCGCGGTCCCCGAAAAACGTGAGGCGCATGCAATAGATAATAGACTAGTTCAATAGGTGTGTAGTGAGCTGACAGATTTATCAGCTGACAGATGTTTTAAATAGTTTATTGAATTTTGGTTGCTAGGAAAAGGAAAATAAACAAAGAGACATTCTTTTAGGCTTTTCAACCAAAGTGGTTCATTTTTATTTGCTCTAAACAATTAATTGTTAATTACTTGTAAAAGTATGATAAATTAAACAATAATATTTAGTGGAAACCTCTAGATTTTTATTTAAAGTATTTATTCTATTTAAATGAGGTTCTTTTCACTAAAATTGGTGACCCCGATTTGAACACATCAAGAATACATAATGGAAGTCAATGAAGAAGTATTGGCAAGACTAAAACTGATGGAAGAGCAAAACCAAAATCTCAGAAAACAACTTAATGATGTATTTGGAGTTGACTCTGAACATTCAAGACAAAATCATGATTCAGAAGAAGATCTTTTGGTTAATCCAATGAGTCAGAAAACTCAAGAACGAAACGATTCAGTAAATCCAAGACCGTCTGAAAACATAACTTCAATTCAATTTCCACAATTAAAATTTCCCCATTTTTGGCGTGAGAAACCAGGACTTCGGTTCATACAGATTGAGGCGATTTTCTCTTTATGGCACATTTTTGATGAGAACCTTCGTTTCACACACGTTGTTACACACTTAGATGAGATGACTGCTTCTGCAGTCTCGGAACATAAGAGAATTAAACAGT